TCTTGGAAGAATCCCAATGGTGTTCAACGTTGTGATCCTCTCTCCACATGGTTACTTTGCTCAGGACAATGTTCTTGGTTACCCTGACACTGGTGGTCAGGTCAGGACCCATTCTTGGTTACTTCTTGTTCTGTCTTTTCATCTATGAGCTCAAAAGTCTTGTGATGTTGCAGGTTGTTTACATTCTGGATCAAGTCCGTGCCTTGGAGACAGAGATGCTCCAACGTATTAAGCAACAAGGACTCAACTTTACTCCTAGAATTCTCATCGTAAGCTATTCTGCTTTAGCCATGTTTCTTGTGGATGTCTGACCATGTTTGTGGATGTCTGAATCTCACTTTGTGTGTTTTGCTTCTGTTGCAGCTCACTAGACTGCTCCCTGATGCGGTAGGAACCACATGTGGTGAGCGTCTTGAGAGAGTTGATGGATCTGAGTACTGTGATATTCTCCGTGTGCCTTTCAGAACAGAGAAGGGTATAGTTCGCAAATGGATCTCAAGATTTGAAGTCTGGCCATATCTTGAGACTTACACCGAGGATGCTGCCGTTCAGCTTGCCAAAGAGTTGAAGGGGAAGCCTGACCTTATCATTGGGAACTACAGTGATGGAAACCTCGTTGCCTCTTTATTAGCACACAAACTTGGTGTCACTCAAGTGAGACACCTCCTTCAGTTTAAATGTTTAATGTCTATTCGATAGCTTCAAGCTAATGCTGTGTTAACTCTCTCTCACAGTGCACCATTGCTCACGCTCTGGAGAAGACAAAGTACCCGGATTCTGATATCTACTGGAAGAAGCTTGACGATAAGTACCATTTCTCATGCCAGTTCACTGCAGATTTATTTGCAATGAACCACACTGATTTCATCATCACTAGTACTCTCCAAGAAATTGCTGGAAGGTAAAGAGATCGAATACAGTGAAGATCAAATAGTTTTAAGAGAAGTGCTTGTTTCAGTATAAGAATGGCTCTTTGTTTACTCATTTTCTGCAGTAAGGACACTGTTGGGCAATATGAGAGCCACACATCCTTCACTCTTCCAGGACTGTACCGTGTTGTTCACGGAATCGATGTGTTTGATCCTAAATTCAACATTGTCTCCCCTGGTGCTGATATGAGCATCTACTTCCCTTACACAGAGGAGAAGCGTAGATTGACTAAGTTCAACCCTGAGATCGAGGAGCTACTCTACAGCGATGTTGAAAACCAAGAGCATTTGTAAGCTTTTGAACACTCTTTCATGTAAATGTTTTATTTGTAGATCTAATCTTTCTTTCGAAACAGATGTGTGCTCAAGGACAAGAAGAAGCCCATTCTCTTCACGATGGCTAGACTAGACCGTGTCAAGAACTTATCAGGTCTTGTTGAGTGGTACGGGAAGAACAAACGCCTTCGTGAGCTTGTTAACTTGGTGGTTGTTGGAGGAGACAGGAGGAAAGAGTCCAAAGACAACGAAGAGAAGGCTGAGATGAAGAAAATGTATGACCTCATTGATGAATACAAGCTGAACGGTCAGTTCAGGTGGATCTCTTCACAGATGAACAGGGTTAGGAACGGTGAGCTTTACCGTTACATCTGTGACACCAAGGGAGCCTTTGTGCAGCCAGCGTTGTATGAAGCCTTTGGACTAACTGTTGTGGAGGCCATGACCTGTGGGTTACCAACTTTCGCCACTTGTAAAGGTGGTCCAGCTGAGATCATTGTGCACGGCAAATCAGGCTTCCACATCGACCCTTACCATGGTGATAAGGCTGCTGAGACTCTTGCTGACTTCTTCACTAAGTGTAAGGAAGATCCATCTCACTGGGATGAGATCTCAAAGGGAGGGCTTCAGAGGATTGAGGAGAAGTAAGAAGAAAAAAAAGAACTCATGCCTTCCTGTTCTGTTACTAGTTCATTTGATTCTTATTATGATTTTCTTTAGGTACACGTGGCAGATATACTCACAGAGGCTGCTGACATTGACTGGTGTGTATGGATTCTGGAAGCATGTGTCGAACCTTGACCGTCTTGAGAGCCGTCGTTACCTTGAGATGTTCTATGCATTGAAGTATCGCCCACTGGTATGCTGCAGTATCTCAATACTTATGGGCCTTCTTAGACACTTATGTTTGTCTCTAATGCGGTTTATGTGTTGTGTCTCTTGTAGGCTAAGGCTGTTCCTCTTGCTGAGGAGGAATGAAGAAGATGTGGAAACCATTAAAGAGCTTGAAGAAAGAGGTTGCAGTGTGTGAAGAATAACAAAAAAATCTCTTTTGATTCTTAACTATCATTTGGATTTAGGAGCACTTGTTGTGTTCCTCTGCTTCTTTGTTATTTTCAATCCTTTTGTTTTTTCTTTATCCTTGGCCTCTCTCAGGCAATGCGTTGTATTCTGATTGTTGAGGGAATGAAATTTCGATTTTTCTATCTTGAAATGTTGTCTTGCATTTTTTACTCAATATTCCACATATTACAACATCATAGAGACATGGGCTATCTCCATAGAAACCCCCTTTATTCAACAGAGATTAATATTTTGATCTATATTAAAATGTGAAACAAAAGATTATATATTTCTTTTTAAAAAAAGTATACATGTCCTATGTTTTGATCTATATTAAAATGTGTTAGTACGACTGTTAGAGAAAAATACATATCCCAAACACATAACATGATTCATTCACGTTCACTGCAACCCGTAGAGAGGTACATACAGTCAACTTCATTTCATCTACAGATGCTAAAGCTCTTGTCCCAAATTGCTAACAGAATCAGTGACAATACTTGCAAGTATTGTAATAAGAGTGCCAATAATATTTTGCAAGTGGAGAGGGACATATGAGTCAATACACACCAACTTGATTCACATGTCTTTTCTTGTTTGGTATGGTTGACGATGGTCTATGTCTCACATGTGTATTGCAACAATCTTTGTAATCTCAAAGCAGGATTTACATGTCGATATTACATAATATGAGTGAAAGCAACACTATCAAATAATCTAGGTTGGTAGAGATTGAATGATATTTTTTTCTTGCTATGATTACAACTTCGAATTATCATTGTATAATCCTGCTTGTGTCAGAATTATTCTTAAGTTATGAATAGTCCCATATCATTACATTGATTGAAACATATATTAGAGTTATATAATATGGTGTTAAAAGATTCTTATTTGAGAATAATAATTTGGAAGAAAAAGGGATAATAATACAGGGAGATTTTTGGTTTTCCGACAATATTTTTTTCAATGATATAATATTTTGAATAAAGACATCAAAGGATCCAAAAGGGTCTTTCGCTCACCAACATAGTGTAGAGGGGAATAAAAATGGTTTATTAAACATTTATAATACTTTAGGTTTTGTTTTAAAATGTTTCCTCAAAACAATTTGTTTGGTTTTATTATCCAGAGGCCATGTACTACTTAAAAGTGGTGAACACACATGTGTGTGCACTCCTCTTTTGTTAGAGCACTTCTGAAAGTAACTAAGAACTAAAGCCTATCATCAAAGTAAAGAAAAGATTTAGGGGTTATGTATATGTTTTGAAGTGCGATTTTGGGGAATATACAAGTTGAAGACAAATACTCTTGTATTAACAATTGATGAAAACTGTATTGTTTTGCAAAATTGTTTTATCATTTAAATTTGTATGGCAAAATACAACTATGGTAATCACACTATTATCAAATCGTATAGCCTTTCGGGACCTTGGTTAGCAAAATGGTGATAACAAGAAATGAGTAGCATCAGTAAGTTAAATGGTTTGTCTACAACTTGACGTTTTGGCATGTGAAGAGCCCGCTGAAAATAAGAAGTTGAAATTTTCTCTAACAATTTATTTTTGTCATCTTTAACAAATTAATATTCTTTGAGTGGTCGTTACTCGTATCTTTTTTTTCTTTGTTTCATTTCTATTTGGACTCGTACACTAATCTATTTCTCTCGCTCTTCTAGTTAATATTATCTCAAGTTAATTAATAAGAAGATTGGAAAATATTTTTATTAATCTATAAGTTGACAAACCAGTAGGAGGTGTGATTAAATAATGATATTTAATATTACATGTTTTAAAAGACATTTGATGCTCTTAATGTCGGCCTATCAGGATAATTTTTTAAGTTAGAAAAAGAAGACAAATCTTCGGAAACTCACATGCTGTAACAGTAGTCGCCAATACAAATAGATAATAAATAAAATGCACAGAAGAATAAGATTTCGAAGAATAATGTCGAAGTCTAGTCTAACCACAACAAAATGACAAAAATAAATTTGATATATGTTTTTGTAACATGTTATGTGTGAGAAAATGGATGATAATTCTAAAGAAAATAGTGTGTAGATATATGGTATACTAGTTAGCCAATTACATACCTAACATTAACAAATAAAAAATCGAGAAGCCACTTTTAAAGTTCATGAACCATCACCTTTAGTTGTTAACTTAACCTATTATATAATAAAGTGAATATGTAGTTTTGTTTTTGATAAAAGTGAATATATACTTTATAGTTCTTATTTATATTGCTCACGGACACTATTTTGGCGTGGATTCACAGTATTTACATGAAAAATACAATATAACCAAATGGGAACTCTCTAAATTAAATATATGCAATTTGGTGACTATCAAATTGGTAATTCGTGGAGATATAAATACGATGGAGATCCGTCTAAAATTTTGAAAATTAAACAATTAACAAATCTATGCAAATCTGCACATTGAAACGTCTCATTGACCACAACTTTAGTTACAACGTTCGCAAATTTTGATCTAGATTAAATCATCATTCAGCAATGATGAATATGGTTGATTTGCTGTGGTGACAAAAGACTTTTGCAGTGATATGAGTGTATATAATATGCATGTTCGTTAAAAACATAATTTTCTTTTTGTAAATACTGTATGTAGCGTGTATATATATATTTATTACGAAAATAAATGAAATAATTATGAACCTACCCTTGTCAACTTAATATAAAGAACCCATTCTCCATTCTTTCTTGGACATCAACATCTCTCTTCTTCTCTATCCCTTTCACCGGAAACTCACCTCCGACGAATAAATCTCCGACTAAAGATAATTTAAAATGGCGAAAGGAGGTAACAAACTGATGAAGCTCAAATCAGTTTTGAAGAAGCTAAACTCTTTCAACACCAAACCAAACCAGCCACAAGCTCCGGCCAATCACGCTCGATCCTCCGCTTTGAGTGCATTGCCCTCAGAAGAACGCCACACCGTCTACGTCGGCAGTACACGGCGTCTGTACCACGTGAGCTCCGACGTCGTGAGCCATCCTCTCTTCCAGCAGCTAGCGGCGGTTGATGGTGCATGCGGCGGCGAGGACGGTTCTATCGCCGTGTCGTGTGAGGTTGTCTTGTTCGAGCATTTGCTTTGGATGCTTGAGAACGCTGACGCTAACGAGTCAGGCTTGGAGTCGGTCCACGAACTCGTTGAGTTCTACTCTTGCTAACTCCTCCTACGTTAAATTAGGTGCCAAATATATGTAATTAATGATTTATGTTTGTATATTCTATACTTTGTATACTTTTGTTAAAATCTATCTTTTGTTTTGAATGATACAACAACCAATAAAATAAATATTACAATATTGTAAACATTGTCTTGCAATTTGTAATACAAACATGTTTTTTTATAAACTTATTGCAATGTCAATGATTGGATACACTCATACACATAAAGACTTGTGGTGCGAACAATATCAATCACGGTTACAATATTTTAACTCTAATCAAGAAGTTACACCCCAAAGTAATCAATCATCCCTACAATTTCCATCAATATAGGATTAAAAAAAAAGCAAAGGATAACAATATTAATCATACTAACAAAATAAATGTTTTAAACAGTTTTTATCACTTGATTTGTATTTATTCTTCCATTGCTGCTACAACATCCCCAGCTGCAAAGGATAACACAAAACCCATTAGTGTTAGGCATTTGGCAACTTCAGTTTCTCGACAATCATCATATCAATGTCCCAAATAACTAATCTCTTGCTTGATTTCTCATCAAACAATATTATGTATTGATGGGGTTCATTAAATAAGAAGAAACATTTTTAGTAGTCCTAAATGCTCGGGCCGGCCCATTCTAAACCCATACGGGCTAGATCGTGGATTATTCATTGACTAAATTATTCATTGTATTATCTCTAGATAAAAGGAGACAAGTCTTTGGCTTACCAGAACCATCGTCAGTGTGATGATCTTTAGGATTATTCTCCATGCATTTAACCAAGAACTTGAAAGTCTCGACCTCGCAAGGGATGGTAAGGGTACCGCTCTGATCAAACCCATACTCTTCCTCTGCCTTTTCAAGCAACACCTTGAACAAAGAGTGGCCAAGATAGCTTGTTGGTATGATAAACCTCCTTAGCTCGGGTCCAACATAAACCGCAAGATACCCTCTGGGAACATCAACCGGAGGCTCAGGGCTTTGGCAGTTTTCCTCATCAGAGTCATAGTTCTTGACAGCTAGTAGCCTCTTGTTGATCGCTGGTGAGATCATTGCCGCCGCTTGGTTACTAGCTGCTAATGGTGGAACATCTGACTTGGACCCTATCGTTACGGTTTGCCATTTTTGCAAAATCTCCTTAAGCCTCACGACTTGTCTTATTCCGGTTAACTTTGCCGCATTGTTTTCATCCATCTGCCCTGTCTTGTAAGATGACTTGAAAATTTTCTTCAGTGGCAGATCAAATGTATCATAAGATCTTTATCCCTTGTAGCTGCATTTACAATATCATTAAATTTGTATCAAAATAAAGGAATAAAATGATTACTAATTCTGCCTGAGACCTAATTGCGAACAATAAGTCCTTCGAAAGTAATCCAATTCACAAACTAGAGAATCAAACTTTATACAGTTCCAGCTTAGATCGATCTCAAGAATATAATCCTAAGTTTTTATAAAGTTCCTGCAAACTCAGCAGATCCACCTATATAATGCACGTACGTAGCTCATGGCAAAAAAGAAAGAAAAAAAAAAGATTGGATCAGGATCTATCAAATCCAAATTTCTTCGAAAATATAAATAATTCAGATGAGAAATCAAAACCATCTCAGTATGTTACATATGTGTTATGTACATTATATAAATTACCTGGAGATGAAAACGTATTGAATCACTCTTAGCAATGGACTCGATGTGGAACGCCATGCACAAAGGAAAAAAAGAGAGACCCCAAAGATGTGTTTCTTTTATTTTCTTTTGTCGCTTTGTTCTTTATTTAGGTTTTTTCTGTTCGAAGGCTGGGAAGCTCAAACGTTGATGTTTTCAAGTATTGAAACTAAAAACAAAAATGAACAAAAGTGTAAAATTTATAGTTTCTAAAAATTTTGGTGGAGGCAAAACGAATAGAGAAGCGAATTATGGGAGATCAGAAACTGGTGATTGGTGTTTTTTGGATTTATAGTTTTTTTCATTTCACTGATTCTCTTCACCGCACAAAAGTTTTTCTTGGCTTTCCCGTCACTCTCGGGCCTTTTCAGGTTCATCTGTTACCGCACGTTCTCTACGCCGAAAGTTAGATTGTTTACGTTATCACCTTGTTAATAACGAATTTACATGTCATTTCCGTGCCCTATAAAAAAAAAGTACTGAGTTTATGACTTGTCTTTTATGGACAGCATGTGATACATTTAGCTAACGTTATGTGATCATGTTTTCTAGTATCACAGATCTGGTAGTATAATAAGATGATTCAGAATATATTGTCATACTATTACTAGAAAAAGAACATGGTTTCTATATATATATATATAACCAACAATATTTTTCGGTGTATTACTGATTGATTTTCTAATATCTTATCACATATGCAGTGTTTCGGTTCTTGAATATCTGATTCTTGATTTTTTAAAGTAGGCATTTTAAATTTTATTGGAACTGAACCTTAAAACGATAAGCTTGTGTGTTAGATCGAATCGGTGATCTCTTGCGTAAGAGTATATGTACAATTTTTTTTATCAATGTAATGTGATAAATTTAGTTTAGGGTTGAAAGCACGTCAATGTATATTTTAGTATAATTTTTTACTTGAATAAATATCGTTTTTAAAGATTGTTTTCTTTACATATTGTTTTGGCTGTAAAAAATCATTTTATGGCAAATGGACTAAACAGATAATATATATCTAATGGTCAATGATCGAGTTAACGTTCGTAAATAGTATCTTGTTCTTTAAATGGGTTCAGCTTAACCTGAGAAACCAGAGGGTATTTCACAGAATGAAAACAGAGCATGTGTATGCATTTCTCTTAGATTTCACCAGTGGTCACGGTAAAAAACACATTCAACAAAACAATTTGTGTGTGTTTGCCATTGTTTTACACTTATTGATAAATCACAGAGTAATATGAAGATTGAGAGAAATCATATAGGGATATGGATTAATTCACATATTAATATTTAGTAGATATATTAAAAATTAGACGAGTTCCATATAATACTAGAGTTCCCATTTGCCAATTAAGGGGTTAGTATAATATAACTTTAATTTAAAAATAGAGTTCCAATTCACTATTTTCCTACATTAATCTAGAATGAGTGACTGATTGATAATATCTAAGAAATAGAATTATATAAATATGGTGATGGGCGAACATCCCTCCACCGAGTATTATTGCATGCGTAGGTCATGCACACAATCGTAAGCAGACAAAGAGAGCCGCCTAGTACTCTAAAGTCTAAATAGATGAAAACAACATCATTGTATTTTCTAATTAGATGAAAACAACATTGTAAGCAGACAAAGAGAGCCGTCGTGACAGCCGCTCTCAGCTTCTGGAGGATCAGAATCACCACTACCACCGGAGACAAATTAAGATGGTCATGGTTTCTACTAGTGGTATATATTTGACAAACAATTTTCTTTTTAGAAGCTGAGAGCGGCGTGTTATTGATGGATTTTCTAATATCTTCTCACATATGCTGTGTTTTTATTCTTAACTGTCTTAGTTTTTGAGTTAGGCATTTTAAAATTTATTGGAACTGAATCTAAAATATATAAGACCCCCTGGATCGATTTGTTGGATTGTGGGTTAGATCGAACCGGTTAAAGGATGATATCTTTTCGTAGAAGTATATGTATATTTTAATGTGTGTATGCATATGATAAGTTTAACTTGGGATTGAAAACACGTCAATGTATGTTTCAGTTTAATAAATTTGATTTTAATTCATATGGATAGTTTAATGTGATCAACAACGCATATCCTAAGACGTGGATCATCTGAGACATATTAGCACGGTGTATTCATCCGGTTTGAACTTGCGTATCTTCTATTTAGTTGAAATATTTTAAACTAGAGTTCAAATTGAAGATTTTTTCCTGCATTAAAAATTAGGTCTTATTCTGATTTTTAAATTAGATAAAAACTAGAAAATGATTGATTGATAATATTTCTTATAAATACTAGTATATATAAACGGTGATGGGCAAACATCCCTCCACCAAGTATATTATTGCATGCGTTGGACATGCACACACAAGCGTAAGCAGAAACAGAAAGCCTCGTAGTACTCTAAACAGATATAGATTTTATATCTTGAAAATATGTATGTTGTTGTATTTTCTTGAGGTCCAAACTCAACCATTTGTTATATGTTGTTTATATAATATTAAAATCTCTGGGGACCAACCAAACGATTGTAGAATAAGTATATGGCTGTGCGCATCTTCCTTCAAGACAAAAGCATCTTCCTTCTTGATACTCGGCATCTACGAAAGATTCACACTTCCACTTGACAACATCCAACGTCTTACCTTTCCTCACGACACATCACACGGTCCAAATCTCATCTCTCCTTTATATAAGCCACTGAAACCTACCCACCTCTTTGCTTATTACAAAAGGCAATAATAATAATAATCAAGAAAAGGGAGAGAAAACATGGCAACTTTGGATTCTCCACTAGAGGCGTTGGCTTTCCAATACGCTAGCTTCGGTGTTCTCGCCGTCGTCAACAACGTCTGGACATGGCTCGCCGTCGTGACGGCCGCTCTCAGCTTCTGGAGGATCAGAATCACCACTACCACTGGAGACAAAAGTGGTCATGGATGTATCTTGTTGGAGGAGCTAACCACCTCGAAAGATGAGCAAGAATCCGATCATCAAGAACCGCAAGAAATGGCTTGTCCGGTGGAGAAAACGGCAGCGCATCCGGTGATTTGGGAGCCGTTGATGTGCGAAGACGGAGTGGCGAAAGGGAAGCTGACGATGTACTACGAGGTCGACGTTGACGAGGGGAGGTGTGTTGATGGAGAGGGAGAGGGAGAGTTAACGGCCGTTAACTACGGAGGTGAGTTTGGTAATAGCGGAGAGTGGTGGGAGAGATGGGAAAGAGTGGTGAAGATGAGAAATGGTGATGACGAGTGGTACCGTTACGTGGACTTGACGGTGTTTAACGGAAGTGTCGTAAGGTTATGGGATGACAAACGGATCCTGTAACAGTGGCAGGTGTCTAAGCTAGAGGATATTCCTAATTTGGGAAAATAAAATCCTTCAAACCTTGTTTAGTTTAAAGTGTATTTTTTGGTCGAGTTATGATTATAAATTGTATATAATTTTCTGCCACAAGACCAGGAAAGCTTGAATTAGAGAAGAAATCAAGAAAATCAACATTAAGTTTTGTTACTCGAACATTAATTTCTTGTTATTAAGCCCACCAAAACCTGGCTACACGCATATACTTGTCCCATTCAGAACTTGATTGCATGCATGAATTTGTTTGTGCTGGTATTATAGTATGCTTAGTTTTCACTTTTAGTTGAAGTACTGATGAATACAACTTACTTCCCATTACATAGAAGATATACAATTTCATAAACTTACAAATCTCTTTTTGACATCAAATTTACAACTTATAAAATAGACTTACTACATTGTCATCAGACTAATAACACAAATTAAGAATGCAAATTGATGTCATATGTTTAGATCAATATATGTTGTGGGATAAAACATCCATAAACATATATGGGACTTATCATGGCGCACAATATCAAACATGCTGCTAATTAAGACCTTGATTAAAGATATATATACTTTCTGACATGATCTTGAAATATAAATGGATCTATCCTTTTGTTGTATCCCTCGCTTTGCAAACTGCTTAGCATATGCTTTGTTAGAATTAAATTTAGATGAGCTGAACCTCATCACTGTTTCCCCTTAAACTCTAGTTCATTAATGAATGCATGTTGTTGATAAAAAAAATGGACCTATCTCTAAAACACATACGAAATGGGACATTTGCTGATAACTAGGTCATTCTTGTTCAATTGGGTATCTCTTCTTTCTTTCTTTCTTTCTTTCTTTTTTTGGTGGGCTGCTAGGAAAACACCATTTCAATTATTAGAGGCAACTTTAGCTAACAAGAAAAATTAAACTTTAGAATCTCGATAATTAAGAGAAGATGTTTGTTGTCATTGTATCAAACTCATTTTGAAAATGTTTGCTTTTGAAATGATCTGAACTACTTCATTCGTTTAAAAATTGTACGTATTATATAATTTATCCTCAGATGTTACAAGAGTCGAGCAAAACAAATGGCAAATAAAGATTTTGTCTCTCAAACCTCTTTTTCAACTCATAACAAATGTGGGTCCAATCTTCTGAAACCTCTTTAAATATAATTGGCCTCTGATGACTTGTCGACCAATAGTTCCACAATCCATACTCCCAATCTCTTGTTTCCCTACGAACATACTCTCTGCCAAAGGCTTGGTAACCTTCGAGCTGGAAATGACTACTTAACACTTCAGCTGATATTATAGTGTAGTAATCACTAGATACCTAGCCAGATTTGACCAATTAGTATGATCAGACTGATTTGTTAACACCCGCAATGTCCATGAATTTGTGGTCGACACGGCTGGTCACACATCAATCGCATCTTCAAGATCTTCTTGTGATGATGAAGCATTTTCAGATAAACGTGTTTGGTGACACTATAAATCACCTCTTTGTACAACAAAGTGTATGATCAAATCCGGTAGTCCATTTTGTCTACTTATTTCTTTTTCGAACTATTTTCCTGTAATTTTGAGTTTGGGACGTGTTTGGGTAATATACTCGATCTTGTGAAAATATTTCTCCACCACATTGCTTACTTCAAAACCACTCCTCGACATCTGACAAAAATACAAATCAAATATGCTAGTTGGTATAGGTGGACATTTTACTCAATATCTGAATCCGAAAAGGTAATTTAATTTTGAAAATTTGCACTAATTTTGTACAGACCAAGTGCAAATGTATTAAACTTTATAATTTTTTTGGCTAGCTTAGTTATTTAATTTCTATATAACGATATTATTTCTTGTTCTAAATGTATTTTTTAATTAATTTGTTCTAACTTAATTCTTTAATTTTCCTTATGTCTATGGCATCCGAAAACGTTGGCATGGCTTTGAAAACTTGGTAGAGGATATTCCTAATTTGGAAAACAAAAATCCTTCAAACCTTGTTTGGTTTAAAGTGTATTTTTGGTCAATTATGATTATAAACTGTATATAATTTCCCCCCACAAGACCAGAAAAACTTGAATTAGAGAAGAAATCAAGAAAATCAATACTATAAATATTGTTACTCGAACATTGATTTACACTTATGCTTGTTATTAAACCCACAAAACCTGACTACGTCCATATATTTGTCCATTCAGAACTTGATTGAACGCATGGATTTGTTCGTGTTGGTATTTTAGTATGCGCAATTTTCACTTTTAGTTGAAGTACTAATGAATGCATAGAAGATAAACGATTTCATAAACTTACAACTCTCTTTTTGACATCAAACTTACAACTTATAAAATAGACTTACTACATTGTTATCAGACTAATAACATAAATTAAGAATGCAAATTGATGTCATATGTTAAGATCAATGTATATAAAACATCCATAAACATATATGGAACTCATCATGGCGTACAATATCAAACATGCTGCTAGTTAATACCATGATTAAAGTCAAAGATATATATGCTTTCTGACATGATCTTGAAGTATAAATGGATCTATCCTTTTGTTTAATCCCTCGCTCTGCAAATTGTTTAGCATATGCTTTGGAAAAATCAAATTTAGCTGAGCTGAACCTCATCACTATTTCCCCTTAAACTCTAGTTCATTATTGAATGCATGTTGTTGATAAAAAAATTGACCTATCTCTAAAATACTTACGAAATGGGACGTTTCTGATAACTAGGTCATTCTTGTTCAATTGGGTATATGTCCTTTCTTTCTTTCTTTTTCGCTGGGCTGCTAGGAAAACACCATTTGAATTAGAGGCAACTTTAACCAACAAGAAAAATTAAACTCTAGCATACTTTGGTGTTATTTGATTGCAACTTGAATCTCGATAGTTTAAAGAAGATGTTTGTTGTCAAACTCATTTTGAAAATATTTGATTTTGAAATGATCTGAACTACTTCATCCGTTTATAAACTCTACATAATATAGAATTTATCCTGAGATGTTACAAGAGTTAGGGGTGGACACGGATCGGATATCCAGGTTTTTGAAGGTATTTGTGATTTGCTTCGTATGTTACAGATATCTAATTTTGGTATTTGCTTTGATTCGGAAAAATACGGATATCTGGAAAACCGGATATCCGGAAAATAAATAGATATGTACGGATATTTACGAATACTTACGGATATCACATCCGTTTTGATTAATACAAATAATCTTAAAAATTTGATACATTTCTTTTTATAAAATATATTTTGTGTGATAAATAAAATAGAAATTAAAAGAAATGGCGAAATTAATATTTTGTATTTTTTAAGTTAACAACTATAATAACACAAAATTTAAGAAAAAAATAGAATTTTCATAAATTTTTATTTACTTTTTAAGTAATATTTTTATATAAGTAATAATGTGAATAAAATTGGTTAAATCATATGCTAAGATAATAATTTTATACATTTAAATTTTTTAATATAAATAAGATATATATGTATTTATATATTTTTGGATCGGATTGGATATCCGCTTCCTAAAATTTTGCTATTTGTAATTTAATTCGACTTTAACAGATATTGATTTTTAATATTTGCTTTGATTCAGAAGTTTATGAATATCCAGAATTTTCGAATCGAATCGAAATGAATAAAGAATCGAATCAAATTTAACGGATAAAATGCTCGGTCCTAACGGGAGTCGAGCAAAATAAATGGTTGATAAAGATTTTGTCTCCGGAACCTCTTTTGTCAAGCCATAAGAAATGTGGGTCCAATCTTCTGACATTTCTTTAAATATAATTGGCCCCTCTCAGCCAATAATTCCACAAATTTCGATCTTTTATTCACATGCTTATATGAAATGGACTTGACATATACTTCCGTTTGTCGCTAGACTTGCTATCTGTTCTGTAATTTGCGGTGCATTTATTTCTTCAGATTTCCCCCATAACCAAGAACTGATGTATTCACCATGCTACCCTTATCTAATACACGTAAACACGTACATGAAAGACATATATGAGGGCCATTAAGTAATAAACTTAAATATGTTCTAATATTTCAAGGACCTACGTACTTTAAATTCATACCAACCAGTTACAACTCTCATGTTTCATATACAGAAACAACGCTGATCTCCTCTCTACAGAGAAACAATGGCTCCTCAACTGAAACTCTTTCTCGCCACCGTTTTCGCAGCCGTCATTGTCACCACCACCAACGGAGATGGACCTAAAAATGCTGGAGAAGATATTGTACATTCCTCCTGCATGCACGCGAGCTATCCATCGCTATGCATTCGTACACTCTCTACTTACTCTGGTCCAACCATCACAAACCGTCGTGAGCTAGCTCAAGCCGCTGTTAAAATAAGCCTCTCCCACGCTAAAGCTGCAGCGAAAAAACTCGCGGAAGTGCGAGAAACCGTGGGGAAGAAACGGGAGAAAGCGGCGGTTGTGGACTGCGTTGAGATGATTGGAGACTCGGTGGACGAGCTGAGCCGCACGCTAGGCGTTTTGAAGCATCTCCGCGTCTCGGGTGGTTCGGTGAACGAGTTCAGGTGGCAGATGAGCAACGCGCAGACGTGGACGAGTGCTGCGTTGACGGATGACGACACGTGTCTCGATGGGTTTCACGGGATAGACGGTGAGGTCAAGTCGGAGGTGAAGCAGTGGATGACGAAAGTGGCGAGGGTTACGAGCAACGCGCTTTACATGATCAACCAGTTAGATGATAAACGTGGCAAGCCCCACGTCGTACGTTCTTGATGTTATAAGCACTTGTCCTAATGGACAGTTGTTAGTTTTATTCGTGTCTATTTGATTGCAAATTATCTGATATATAAAGAAAATAGTTTTTGAAACTACATTGTCATTTTAGTAGTTCTAATAGTGGTATATATAAATGTTTATTTTTTGTTTGCTATGTTACTAAATGTTCAAGAAATCGGTAGGTGGTAACTAAGCGATTTGAGAGGACTAGCAACTAAGATTATTCAGGACTAAGATGTTAACGAATTATTGATTTAATTTATATATATTACATTTAAATTTTTAATTACAAATTTATTTTGATGAATATCGAAATTAGTAGATTTGTACTAACTTATGGATTAATTTAAAAGATTAAGACTAATTTAGATGGATATAAACTGATTTGA